GGCTTTATGCCAACCCCTGACGGCTACCTTGATGTTGCTGTCACACACTTACCAGAGTGGGATTGTCATAATTCATTTCCCAGAGCCGCTGAGAAATGAAAACTAACCGATCCAGATGTGAATCGAACCCACAACGATCCGGGCACTCTGGGGCGCACCGCCCCCCTCCCTCCCCCAATGTGCTCGACCATCCTGACCTCAAATGTAATGGAGGAACTTGTCAAATTATTTTTTACACTATCAATTATTTTTTTCTAGATGTACATAAGATATTATTGGAAATCAATCATGCTTGTTGAAGTAAACAAAAATGAAATTTAGACATTTTTTTTTCAAATTTCAAAAGAAATAATTATAACTACCAACAAATAAATACAACTGACGATGCAAATTCTTCCTTTAAGCTAGGAGAAACGATGCCACTGATGTGCTCAGTTTCGTTAATGAACTTGCCCAAGTCTATATGTGAAACAGAAACTTAGAAACAGATAAAACTATATTTTATGAAACTTTATTATTTACCAATAATTATTAACTTATAAATATAGACAAAAATACTATATAAAATATATAAAATCAATCAATAGGCTTTTATTATTAATTTCTCAAGTTTTAAGATCAGAATTGTAAATCTTGAAATTTCATAACTCAGAAATAAATCATCCTGAATAAGCATATTAGCTTTTAAGAAAGATTTTTATATACACCAATGTACATTTAAAAGTTTACATAGCATAATTATATTCATATTGATATCACAATTCTGGACTTTCTCACACTATTGAAAAGTAAGAAAAAAATCATTTCGTTTTTACAAAATATGTTAATTTATCAAACAGTTCCATAAAAGCAATCATTTCTTACCAGCAACATTGTAATCCTAAGTTTGTTTATCAGAATTAAAAAAACTAAAAAAATCAATTTAAAACTGGAAATAGGTGCAATGCAGATGACTAAAACTTTCTTCTGATGCTATAAAAAAATATGGTGGTTTATAAATTGGCTCCAAACCTGAAGACTACTGCTGCCACAATATGATCAAATCATCTCTAATTAAATGGATTATTTAAATCAAGTATTAATACAGAATTTATTATTAAGAATAACTTATATTTTACATTATTTTCATATTGAGAAATTATACTATTTCCAATTAAAAAAAGAAAAAGATTTTAGGTACCAACTGAATCATGTACAGTGAATTTATTTTTAAACTTGCCGATTTATACAAAACACTCAATTAATTAATTGATTTAAAAATGATTAATATTTAAATTTAATAATTAATTAATACATTTCTTTTTCTTCAAAACTATCAGGATTATTACCAATTCCATGACATTTACTACTATTCTATGTAATATAAAATTACTGTAAGTAAATTAATTTTCAAGTAGATAATATGAAGAAAAATAATTCTGTATACATATTTAAAAAAAAAAAACCGAAGTTATCGTACTTTTTTGTAATTATACAGTTTTTTTAAAGCAGGATTTAAGGTGCATTTAGATATTCACAAACAGTATTAGTTATTTATTTTTTAGACGTGCTTTAAATTGTCCAAATTAGGACTTCATATAATTTATTTTTATTTATTAGGATATAATTTATAAGGAATCTTAAGAAACTGTTCACTTTCCTAAATATAAAAAAATCGTAAAAGAAGTTATTGTGATCGTGAAAATCCTAGATAGTGTCAATTTTTATTTAAAATTTTGAGGCTGTGAGATAAATCCTAAATTCTCCAATTCTTCAAATTACCGCGAGAAATGTGATAAAATCTTATTTTATGAATGAATCGTAAAATACTGGGGCATGTTATTACATTTTATTTGAATATAATCTAAAATTTCAATATTAGGAACATAAAGGGCATGGTAAAATGCTAGCATATTTACTTCTAGGCCTCAGCTTAGAAGTCGACTTTATCAATTTTCTTAATTGATTTCAGTTCACATATTTTATTCATTCATGTTATGTAATAGTTATTGATTTTGATTTTATTTTTGTTCTTCAAAATATTGGAGGAGTGAGAGTGAAACAATTCCTCTTTATTTTTATATATCTTGGACATTACAGCAACATTTCTCATAAAATGGGCGTGACAGAAACTAAATGTCTCCATGGAAATAAAATAAAATCCTAAACTAAATGGAAACATTTACAATTATTTTTAAGCTGGACAAATATGATATATCTAAAATATATAATCCATCGAATTGTCATTCTGAAATAGTTTTTAAACAATTATGCATATATATATATATATATATATATATATATATCCATGGTGACACACATATTCTCAAATTAATTTAGGGTTATGGGAGGAAGATAAAATTGAATAAATCTGTCATAACAATGAAACTCAATTCAATAGAAGCTGGATATTGAATTAGGCACTTCCTTGAAAACAACAAAATGCCCAAATCTACCCCACCAGCTTTCATTCTAAAGAAAATTATCATTTATGATTTTCACTTTCATTAGGTGCATAAAAGGTGCATATGTATATATTCCTAATCAAATTAACAATTACCACTAATTAAATAAATTTTTTTTCTTCAGCACAATATAAGATAAAAAGCAATCAAAATCTGTATTAACATTTAAAACCTTTAATAAGGTGTATCACATTTTTTAAAAATATATTTGTAACGTTTTGGACTTTTTCAAAAATGTACTATATGTACTATTTACCACTTTAGTGTAAACATTTTTATTTTTGGTCATACTTAAGAAAAACTTAACTTTTTTTTTTTGCTACAGCACCATTATTAGACTAAAAACAATTCACGGCAATCTTATCGGAATGAAAAAAATATGTGCCCCTCTTATAATTAAATAAATAACTAAAATATAAAGTTGTAGTAAAAGTAAATAATAAATCTCTACATTATAACGGTCATAACACAAGTAAAATTTCCTTCAACACCAACTCAAAAGAGACCTACCTATCCGTTATTATAATATAAGTATAAATATTAAAAACAATCATTTCATGGATCTTTATTTAAATATTATACAATTATAATACTGGGTCAAAATTTTTGTATGTATATATTAGGATAATTACTTTGGAAGAAAGAAAGAAACTAAGTACCTATATGAAATGGTGTTTAACTGATTCTTTAAGTCCTATTAAATGTAATTAGACGAACCATAATACTGTTAGAGATAATTTTTATCATAAAACATGGTTATATTTTCCAATTTTGGGGGGCTTCAGCCCTAAAGCTGCCCCCCCCTTGTAGATCTGCTTGTGCGGTAAATTAAAATTTAATCTTTCCTTCAACACATTTGGGATCCAAGTTTAAAACCGCCATAACTGCCTCCCAGCTCCTACGGATTCATTAGATATCCGCTAGGGGCAGCACATAGTCCATTCCATAATAATTGTTTCAGAATTCATAAGGTAAATTAATATATGTACAAAACAATTTTAATAATAACATACAAAAATGATACAAAAGTATAAACAGATCAGGTAAATGTTGAATAATTCTTGTTAATGACTGTACTAATTAACTATGTCGATACTTCAACTCAACTGGATAAAATTGCATTGGAATACATGTGGATATAGTTAAAAATAGTTCTATCAGCTATCTATATTTATTGATTACTTTAATTATATTTATTGATAATTGTTAAAACTGTTAGTTTAATGGTTTCTTATCAGATTATCTCATATATTATATGTCAGTAGATGTTTTAGAATCTTTTCAACACAAATCATTCCAGTATTCTTAGCCACATATCCCATCTATTTTTAATTGATAATTTGTAAATGCATTCTTCTACTTATTAATCATAGGTACCTCAAAAAGTGCAAGAAATGTTGAACTTTGTTTTCTTGAACTTCACAAGACCTGTTTCGACTGCCAGTCTATCAACTGCTACCTGGAGTGCTCTATACCATGCCCTGATTAAGACCTACAAAGTGGGTTGAAACGTCGGCGAAAAATACTATTTTAAAAATTTAGTATTTATTTGACCCATTCCCCGCCAACTCCTTCTCATTTACAAGAAAATGTTCTCAAATCATTCAATTATCCGTTAATTGACAAGTTGATATGTTAAAAAACTTATCAAACTTTCAAACGACTTGTTGGTATAAGCATAAAATCTTCGGAACCACAAAGCATTATATAATTAAACAGCGTTACTTGATACCTGTTCAACAGTTATATTTATTTTTTCATATTTGTGTAATATCCTTATGAGAGATGAATTTATTACCAAAATTGTTCACACGATATATACGATGGTTCAATTTACATTTTTAATTATGCTATTGCTTTGACAATGTGAATATTAATAAAAATCATAACAAAATCAATGTAAAATAACACTTTTTGAATTTACATAACAATTAAACTATACAACAGGGGCTGCAGCCAGAGAAAAAGATACTTTTAAAAATAAAATATTTTTATTTGACTTGTGTGTTTCCTCTAACTTCTGAATAATTAATAATTACTTTTTAATTAAATCTTCAATTTGACAAGGATATTTCCAATTAATTAATAAAATTATTAATTTCAAGGAAATAACTTAAACCCTTTCACCTCCTCTCAATGTTTCACGTCATTTTATTTATTTCGACAATGCTTCAGGCCAACTTTGCCCATTTTCAAGTGGAACTTTTTATATATTTATCTAATCCTCACCTTCTTCCAATAATTATTTCATAAATATTTATGAAAAGTCATTCCACAATTTAAAAATACTTTTGGATACGTCTTATTCTTTAAAAATTACTTTTATTAACAATTTTCATTCAAATGCTGTACATTGTTGTCCTATCTTTTTATATATATATTATTCATAAGCTTATCTAGGGGAATGATATTCCTTCAAGGACCAAGGAGAGAGCTTATTTTCAAACTAAATTACAATAATTAGGCAGATGGAGAAGCTAAAATATTTTATATTAAATAATTAATAATTAGATATTAAACAGGATTGTTGGATATAAGAAAGCAGAAAGCAATGACTACAGTCAAATAAAATAATATATTGAAATTTAAAGAATAAAAAATATTAGATTCATACCCTTATAAACTGTACTATTCAATATTTCACTTAACATCACAAAACTGTTATAATACAAACATGCATATGTGTTGATATATAAACAAAATGATTTTTTTAATTGATCTGTAAATATTATATTATAAAATAATTATTCTATTAACAGAATTGCCAGGACTACCTATGAGGTCAAAGTGGAGGGAAGGCGGCCACAGAGAAAACCAAGAAAAAGATGGGAAGAAGGAGTTAAGGAAGCCTTTGACAGGAGAGGAATGCCCTGGAGTAGGAGAAGAAAGCTGGCCCAGGATAGAGATTCTTGGATCAAGCTCTATAAAAAGGAACCTCACACTGCTCAGCGGTAACAGAGGACTGAATTAAGTAAGTAATTATTCTATTTAGGCATTAGTTCATTTAATTAAAAACATGAGGTTTATTATCTTTAGTGACGTTTCTATCCCATCTTTTCTTATGAACACAATGTTTTTATATGCCTTATCTAACTAATAATTTCTAATTTATTTTACTATCTTATCAAGTATAGATATTCCAAGCCAGATTGGTTATACCTTCTAATGGCAATAACTATCTTTGAACAATGCGTCTCACTCAATATATACACACACATTTATAATATCAATATTAATATCAGCTTGATTTAATTTTTTGCATTTTATCAAGGTGTTCCTCTCGAAACCATGACTGCTGCTCCTCAACTTGACGAACTTGTTGCTCCAACAGTTTTATCCTATACACATGCATCTCCTCCAATCGTTGTATCTTCTGCTCATGTTGTATTTTTTTTAAATCTTTGTTTTTGTTCAGCAATATTGGCTTTGGATACTGCCCTTGTTGACAGCTTTTCAAGCATAAAATCTCTTTTTTGGATTCTCAAAGGTGGATGAACGGATCCTCCAAGAGATGAGGACTCAGTTGGATCAAATCTATGACATCTGTATGGAGTGACCTTTGCCTGATTTATCACTTGTCCAACCAAAGGTTGACCCATATCGCAATGGAGTCAAAGATTGTAGAGGAGCCATTGAGGCAGTAGATGAAGGTATTTCCAATGATTCGTAGACTGTAGTGGAATCCGCTTCAGTTTTTAATAAAAAATAGGATTCACTCCCATTTTTATTATCAGAATCATCTTTTTTTTCATGCACTTCAGAAGAAAAAGATTCCGCAACTAAAAAAAAAGAAAAGAATAGTGATTAATAAATGTATAATAAAAAGAACAAATTATTTCTGATACCTTTTTTTTTTTTTCTTTTTGGTAACTCACTTTGGTCGTCGTGTTTTACGTCGTCATCGTCTACATATGTGTTCTGAAACCCTACGGTTTGAGGCCCTGACACCCAGAGAGGCTGAGTCTGCTCATCAGCAAATATTAACTCTTCTTCTGCACAACCTCTTACCTTTGTTACACTTCTTTTTCCCTCACTCAGCTTTTCTTTTACACCTGTAGCAAACAAAATAAATAATATTATTTTATATAAAATCATAATTAATTAAAAGATGGATATTCTTTTCAAAAACTGTTTCTCATTTTAATACCAAATTACAAATCATATCCCTTGAAATATAGGTAATTAACTTTCTTTTTTTTTAGTTGGTATGATGAACACAACGGCAGAGAAGAAAAAATGTTCTGTTTTTGATTAAATTAATTTCTATGCATTAGGATTGCAATTTTGCATTCAATATATAAAATATATATTTCATATAATAAATTTAGTATACTTTCAATCAGTCTTCTGAAGATTTTAGAAGAAAATGAAAACAACGAAATCGGCACATGAACCTTTCACAAGATAACAAAGATACTAAAAAAATTAAGAAAATAGAAAATGAAGATAAATAGATAAAAATAGCGATGAGCATAGTGCAATAGCATCATATAAAAATTAATAAGTAAGGAATATAATAAAATATAGAAATAAATATTTGTAGATAATACATGAGTGCATGTATTCAATTTAAAATAAATGTTTCTTACTTTCATTTGAGACAATAATCTCCTCTTCTTGTTTCAGATTGATAAGTTCATCCGAGATGATAAAGTTCTCTTCTTGTTTTACATGGATAAGTGCACCTACCAACAAGTAAATAGTAATTTTAATAAAATTAATTATAAGAAAATAAGTAATAATTAAGAAGAAATATATTTACTATTTATTGTTTTACAAAAGCCAACAAACTCACTCGATTAATTTTGTTTTATTAATAAAGCTTCACATGTTCATTGCGTAGCAGGAATAAATAAGCAACTTTAAATAATTATACATTTATCTAACTAGTTACACAATTAATTGATATATATATTAACATCTTACTCTATCTTATAATATAATGCAACAGTTTTTTGCCATAATGATCCCTTTTCCGAATTTCAGAAGCGATGTGTTTTGATGAATGAGGTATCAAACGAAAGGGTGTTAAATGGAGCAGTGACGAATCATAGTAACATCCACCCAAATTTCAGTTATGAATGAAAAAAAAAATTATTTGCGAATTACTTAAAAAGTATACATTTTTTTTCTGGATTAGACCCATTATTATTTGAAAATTTACTAAATTCTCTACAAAATGAAGAAAAAATCAGGGAAATCGTATTTACAAAGATACAGCCTATTGAAATTTATGTATTCTTGCTTCTAATATTTTTTCAAAGAACTTATATAAAATATTAATGTTTTCGAAAACTACTTTCATAATTTCTGACTTTTATGTAGTATAGGATAATTCTGACAATTTTTAACATTAAGTAACTACCTTTTAAAGCCCTAAAATGAACAGTTTTCAGTTTCCGTTTGGACCCAACCTTAAATCTGTGATAGGAAATCTTGATGCCACTGCTGTCATAGATTCTGGTTCTTATAGAAATTACAATTCCCAGCCCTATATAGATACAAACTGAATGTACCTGCAGTTGAAAAGAATAAAAGAGATCAGCCTTAGCAAAACTACGGATCGGATACTGAAGGCTAAAACATGAAAACCTATTGACAAAGGGGATATCCCTTGAGTTTCCTTCCTGGGTGGTAAATATCATGGTGATGCACATCTAGACTGAGCGTTGTGCCTATAAAGAACATTGGAGTCAAGTTGAGTTGGAAAATAATATTGCTGAAATTTTGAAAAAACAACACAAAGATGGCATTAAATTGTTTTTATTTATTAAAAAACCACAACTATATAACAATATAATTTTTTGTAAATGTAAATGCTTTCTACTTTTAAGTATACTGTTATTTTTTATATTGTGTAATATAAATATCGTCTAAGAGCTAAAACGGTCCATAAATGGTTGGAAAGTCCCCATCCTTATTGATAAATACAATATATATACTATATATTTTTTCTCACTGGTGTTTTATTTCGCCATATCTTCGTTAGTTCCAATTATCAGACCAGCATTTTAAAGATTGTCGAAACACAACCCCCAACATCTCAGAAAAGCAAACTTAATTTGGCCATAACAGGAAAAGTATGCAATTTACATTGGATTAAATCCATGAATAATTAAAAGGTTACAAAATTTCATACAAAAAAAAAAATAAAAATATATATATATACATATAACAGACCATTATGAGTAAAGATATAGACTACAGTAAATTGTAAAAATGTTTTGGTTAATTTTTATGAATCAACTATTTTAAGTCGACCAAGAAAAAGAAAATCAATTCTTCCAAATCATAATACATTGCATTTACATATTTCCATACGATTATATCAGTTGTTCTCTGATTAATATTTTATGCGAATTATTCGCACAGACCAGCTAGTTATATATCAATATCTGTATTTCGGATTTAACATTTTCTCTAGTAACTTTTCAAATAAAGGTTTCTGAAAATCCAATCTAAAAAATGACCTTCATTCTTAACTACTCAAATAAATGACATATTACAACCAAGTAATTCATTTGGGATAAATGATAACTCTCATGTTAGACCAATTGCTATTTATTTCTCATTTAACGTAACTTAAATAAATAGAAGTTAAATTTTACCATAAACCTAAATTACTACAAAAAAGTTCTCAGAATTTTTATTTTAAAACTTTTTTCCTAAAATGCTTTACAAACACTTTTACAATTGAACTTATTAAAGATGGTTGCTAAAAAGTAAAAGGTGTAAGTTTAAATACTTTGGCCAAAATAAACATTTTTTTTAAGAGGCCTATTACAAGCATATACAAAATTTTAAATCTCAGGACATTCATAAATTAATGTTAAAGATTTAGAATTCATACTACATATGAGAGCAGACAGTTAACATCAAGAATTCGATAACAATGATAATAAAGGCTTAGGAAACCAGAAGGTTCAAAGCTAATACTATCAATCGCTGTCCATATACTTTCATCCATGGACCTCTATTTAAACCCAACCATAAAAGATCAGTTTAAATACATCTATTTCGGTATACCGCTCAAACACTAACACATTGGCACAATGTGTATTAACCTTTGAGTTTACCACTAAGCCAACAATTTTACGTGCCTATTTTATTTGTTGCTAAGCTTTATTTTTTTTCTGATGGTATTATAGACCTCGTTATTCTTTTGCCGTCTTCCTGTCTGTCTAGTTATTTGCCTCCAGCTCTATTGCATCTTTGTTGATTCAATCTATCCATCTGTTTTAGGGCCTTCGATGTGGTCTTTTGCCTACTTTTTATGCATTCATTTTCCTATCGAGGTTTCCAAATGGATTGCTACGAGCTATATGTCCCGCCCATCTTAACCTCTGTGCCTTCATATCATGAGCTAATGATTGGCCAGTTTCTGTAAACAATTCTTTATTGATCTTTCTTCTTAATGTGTCAGTGCTCTTATCACAGATTGCTCTGGTTATCATGCGGAATATTTCCTCTCAAATCATGGTTAGTGTACAGGTCTCACAACCATAGATCAAAACTGGCTTTATCATAGCATTTTACACCCTTTATTTTGATATACTCATTATTCATTTCGTTTATATTTACATTGATTTATCAAGAATATAAATCAATAAAAATTAAAAGAAGAGAAACAAACTTATAACTATTTATTCATAATTTATAAAGAAACACTACTCACGAGTTGATTCTGTTTCTTCAGTGATTTCATCTTTCATTGAAATATCAGAGTTTCTCTTATCTGAAACAATGAATAACAAAGGATCAACTGTGCTCGTGATGAACAAATAATTTAGTAGACCAAACAGTTGAAAAATAAAAAAAATCCAGTAAAATAATTAAAAAATTGAACCTAACACTGAAATACAAATTTGAATGAGCCAGATAAAATATTTATAAACAAAATCTTATTTAATAACTTTGCAGAATTGAAGGTATGAAATAGTTAGCCAAATAATATTAATAATAAAGATAATTGTAGTGGATTGAAATGATAAGTAGTAGTAGTAGTAGTAGTACAATATATTGTACAATATTTTAAGAATAACAATATTAATCATAATATAAATATACATTACATTAAGGATTACATAGTTTAATAGTATATCTGTGCCTGTTTATAGTATATATATATAACTATATATATAATAAACATAGAAGTAGGAGTAGTTACCTATGTAAGTTGACGGGGATATGGGGAAAATGAAAAACAATTTTTAATTATTTTAGACTATTGTTTTAGGAGGCGGAAAATATTCGAATATGTGTTGCAGTTTTTTTTTTTATCTACTTTGTGGTTGACCAGATTATTTTTTTCCTAATTAATGAATATAGCTTCTGAAAGTAGTCGTTTTTGGCGATTGGGAACTATGGCAAGTATAAGTGTAAGTCGGCACTTATAAAAACCTTATAACGATTGCGTCCTGAATATTTATCACGCTAGAATAATAATTATAAAAATTAATTGAATTGTATAGTTAAAATTATTCTTCTACTAACCGATTTGATCCATCGCTATTCAAAAAGTATATCACAAACTGAAAATTTAAGAACATAATCCTGAGTAACAAATCAATAAACAAGATATAAACAAACCTATCTAGTGAAGGTTACAATCGAATGTCAAGTTAATCGTTTATTAAAATTAATCGACTTTCCTATCAGAAGCAGCAGCGAAGAAGATTAGATTGATCATTTCAACTCATAGAAAGTATATGTACTATCGGAGGATATAAATAATTACCAAATAAATGAACATGATTTCGTTATGATTTAAATTTGATAGTACTCTTATTAGTTTTCGGATAGTTGTAATTTAATTTACTATCTGTGCAGAAAACAGTATCAAACAAATTCTAACTTGTAAGACCAAATGCTCATTTAGCGAAGAACCCTTAAATGATTTCAATATGATATCAAGAATATCCTTAAAACATCTTATTCCAATCAAGAAATAGATGAAGTTAGTACGCTTGTTTTTCTATGCTTATATGTCTGGATAGATTTTTTCGATTATCACCTACCTCACCATTTAGGTATAGAGAGAGAAGAGGTTGTTCGAAAGGTACAATGAAACAGGAGTTGGTGATTGCCGAGCCTATAAAAGCATACAATTTAACATTCTTCAGTCTAGCATCACCAATTCGAATCCGGCTTGGACGGGTTGAAATTTATTTCTTGGCAGACCAGCGGAATGAAATCGACTTTTCCACTCTGATTAGAACAGTGAGAAGGTGGTGATTCATCTATGGGTCTGTAAATGTAATTATTTGTTATTATAAGTGGTGAGAACCTCGAAGGAGTGTTCTATTAGTAAACATAGTTGTTTGTAATTGAGATTTGTTTATCTTGATGATATCGCGGTGTGTGGAGCTGATAAATCAAACTACAACTGAAACCACAATAATCTGATTGTGGCTCTTGATAAGTTGCATATTGAGTTTGATAAAGAAAAAAAAATAGGCCTAATTATATTCTCTGTTTTTTTTTGGGATAACATCTCTATCAATAGTAATAATATTATCATATTATTGACGATTCGTTCGAAGAAAACAATCAAGTAAGCTCTAGTTCATTAACGAATAAAAAACTATTTTGGGTGAAACCTATAGGAGCTATCAAGAACTACAGTACAGAACCGTTAGTCTTAAGTTTATTTCTACATATTTAATGTCAGGTCATCAATCTTTCAGCTCTTAAACGGTTCAAGAGATAACCTAGATCCTAGGTTGACATTTTCTTCAAGATTTCATCCGCTCAGTTAAACTAAGGCAAGTTCCATCGAAGGAATCCATCAGTCAATTGAATCCAGCACCAATGAACAGCGATTTATGCTGAGTTTAGGAACGACCTGTTGGATTCTTGTGAAAAATTAACGCTCCTGAAAAATTACAAAACACATTAAAATGAACAAACAAACTAACACACAATTTCTAAAGTTAAAATCAAGTATAATAAGTATAATAAGAAAAATACATTGAGAAACTCACTACAACACTGATAAGAGTGGCAGAGCGAATTGGCCTAAAATTAAATGAAGACAAAACAAAACATATGATAATAATTCCACCCCAATAACAGGAAAATCATTGCCAAAAATAGAAAAATTCAAATACCTCGGCTCCACAATAACCCCAAAGAATGACCAACGGGCAGAAATAGATCAGCGTATAACTACCGCAAACAGAACTTTTTTCTCCCTCTCAAAGGTATAGAAGAAATCCCGAACGATCTCAAGAAATCTCAAAGTAAGGGTGTACAATGCTATGATAAAGCCAATTATATATAGTTGTGACACCTGGACACTAACTAGCACCCTAGAAAAAAGTATTGAAAGATTTGAGAGGAAAATCCTCCGCACGATATCCGAAGCGATCTGGGATCAAACTACTAACATATTGAGAAGAAAGCCCAATAAAGAGCTGCTTAAAGAAACTGGTCAATCAATATCTCATGATATGAAGGCATGGAAGTTAAATGGGTGGGGCATGTAGCGGAATCCGTCTGGAAGCCTCTACGTAATAAATAATGTCCCAATAGAAGACAAAAGACCACGTGGGAGGCCAAAAAGCAGATGGATAGATAGAATAAACAAAGATGTAACAGAGCTGCGTGCAGATAAATGAAAAGAAATATCCCAAGACTGGCAGAGATGGAACAGGCTTGTTAAGGCGACAAAAGATCTACATGCTCTGTAATGCAAACAGAAAAGAAAAAAAACAAATTATTTGACTCGCTAAAAAAAAAAAAACACAAATCTTGAATTTTCTACTTGTCTGCTGGAAATTGGGCCATTATTTATATAAACTTTTTTCTACATCTTGATGTCTATTGTCATTTCTTTCAATATCTCTTTATAAATATCCCTGCTTACGGGACACCCTGTATATAATTTATTTTTTTTAAGCTTTATTTAATGTATTATCGACCAATCGATATGTTATTCATTTATATCAACCAACTTAAACTATTGTTTAAGTTCATAGTTGTAAACAATACGTAACTTTAGGGATGTCTTTTTATAAAGCTCCACTTGGGGCAATTGATTCAAATTTTACTTATTGTTAAAATATCCAATATATTATAATCATTCGGGGAATCGCAGGCAATATTTGTGACTATGTTTTGTTTCTTTAACATAACTTTTTCAGATAAATCACTAAGCCGACCTTCCCCCGCCAGACCCCAACATCGAAGACCACTTCAAACGGTCGATTGACTCATGTCTTCACAGCTTGAAGCCTACGCCCTCTACTTCGTAAGGTCTCCTTCTTTATCGAAATATATAACTCATCCACGCAATAATAGTTTAAAATATCACATTAAATAAGTGATTATATATGTCAAATTCTGAGAAAAATAATTTAACAATAAATTTTATTCTTTTATTTATAACAATGCAACCACTGACGCATCATTTTAGGCATTATACAATAGCCAAAGAAAAAAACTTCTGCCAAGTAATGTCAGTATAGCTTCCTCACCGTTTTCATTGACTAAAAAATATCCATATGACAAGGTCTAAAGTTTTTCGTAGGAGAATCAAATATCTGAAAGAAACTGTTTTCGGTAATTTAGTAATCCGTCAACATATACAGGCTTCATATCCACGAGCTTTATTTATCAGCAAATACTAAAATGCGAAGGAGTTCAGCATTTGCAGATTGCACATTTGAAGATTCGTAATTTAAAAAAAAAATCCACTGCATACTGGATATGCATATCGTTACTGTTAGTGCAAAAGGTCGTATGTAAAAATTGACTATTTTATAGGAGAGCATAAAAACTAATTATTTCTTTATGAATTATTTTTACTTTCCTACATATACTAGGTAAGAAAAGTATTGCAAGCGGGTCAAATTTTCGATATGCGGTTTTCGACGGATCTATACGTTTCAGACCACCCTGAGTCCGAAAAACACATTTTTAGCCATTGGTCTGTCTGTTTGTGCCAAGACTTTCTCGGGAACTACTGAACCGATTTTGTTGTTTCTTTTTTTATTTTGTAGGGCAATAAGTGAAAAACCTGTGTTTCTATAGACTGTAGCGCGAAAACGGCTCTAACGATTTTGATGAAACTTTCCTATAATGTTCTAATAATTGTTCTTTCAATTTTCATATATGGACTAAATTCCCGAGAAAACTCAGGGAAAAAAGTTATAAAGAAAAGAAAAATGTTATGGGGCCTAACTCCCTAAGTATATATTATACGGTAAAATTTATAATAAAACTTTTGAAAGGTAATTAAATTACCAACAAAACAAAAAGAAATCATCGGAATCGAACCAGTATTAGCGATGATACAGCTTATTCTATTTTTTACACATGTTTTAACTTATTACTTTCCTACCTATACTAGGTAAGGAAAGTATTGCAAGCGGGTCAAATTTCCGATATGCGGTTTTCGACGGATCTATACGTTTTAAAGCACCCCGAGTCCGAAAAACACATTTTTAGCCATTGGTCTGCCTGTCTTTGCTAAGATTTTCTCGGGAACTAATGAACCGATTTTGTTGCTTCTTTTTTTATTTTGTAGGGGTTTGACTACTGATGCCTGTGATAAAAATTCGGTGTTCCATGCGCAATAAATGAAAAACATGTTTTTCTTTAGACTGTAGTGCGAAAACGGCTCTAACGACTGATGAAACTTTGCTGTAATATTATAATAACTGTCCTTTCAATCTTCTTATATGGATTAAATTCCTGAGAAAATTCAGGAAAAAAAGTTATAAAGAAAAGAAAAATGTTTTGGGTTTGGGGACCAACTCGCCAATTTTAACAAAAAATATTGTTTGATAAAATTAAGCTATGGCAAAAAGTTTTTGATCAGCAATATTGAAATTTATATAGAAGAGAGTATTGAAATTACACTGATCTACCTTAAGCCGGTTTACATTGCTTTAGTTTATCAAATAAATCGTACTCAAATCTTTTTATTTGATTAATTTTCAGGAATATAAATCTAATTCAATTTTTTTTTTTTGTTTCTTGTAGACATATATAAAAGGTATAAAAACTTTTCTGAAATAGATAGGAAAGTCGTGTGAGTGGACACTAGATTTTTTTAAACAAATTATTGTTGATGAAACAAAAAATGTTTAGGGAAATAGTTGGAGTCACTTATTTCTTTTTCGTTGTCATTAGCAAGGTAATGTTAATTAATATGTATATTTGTTTGGAAATAATAAACTATTGTGAAATAATTTGCAGCGTTTTTTTTTATTTTTTATTATCATCCAACTATAATATAGATACTCCACTTTTATAAAAGTTCCTCGTTTAACAAGTTTTAAGTTCTTTTATTAATTAAGTTGATGTTGACAAGGCAAAAAACTTGAGATTCATCTTAAGTTGAGGCACGGGCGGATCTACGGGGGGGCTTTCGGGCTGAAGCCCCCCCCCCAAAATGCTAAAATATAACCATGTTTTATCGAAAAAAATATTTAAAAAGTATCTCTTAAAGTATTATTATTCATGTAATAACATTTAAAAGGGCTTTAGGAATAACTTAAACACCATTTCATACAGGTAGTTAGTTTTTTTCTTTTTTTCCAAAGTAATTATCGTTGTTTTTATTAAAAAAAAACTTTCGGGCTGAAGCCCCCCCCAAAAATAAATCCTGGATCCGCTAGTGAGTTGAGGAAAAAACATTTATT